CACTGAATAAATTATTATCCTTTTTTAAAAAAAAAGTTAAATATTGTGCATGTATGTGTTTGAATTTAATAGGTTCATATCAATAAATTTTCTCTTTGAACCACCAGGTGGCAGTCTTTGTACTTTTATTTTGGAGTGCAGATTGCATAAGTTCTATTAATATATATTTTTAACTATATATATATATATATATATATATATATATATATATATATATATATATATATATATATATATATATATATATTATATATATATGTAATACATATATTTACTTTTTTCCCAAGTGTATATAACTACTGTAAGAAATGATCAGCATTTGGTGATCTGTGAAATGAGCCTGCTCCCAAGCAGGTTTGAGCTACCAGAACTGTTGCTATGACAACAAGTCTCAGATGAGTTTTGAACGAAACGATCCTGGATCGTGTCAAATCGTCAATATCCAAATCCAGCTGACTGAGTAATCCACATACAAAGAACAGACCCCTGAGGTGAAGCATTTCAAAACCAGTCCGCTATATGCTTTAGCACTAAAACAATCCATTAAACTTTTTTCATGGTTACAGTTTAATTAGTTTAATCAAGCGGTCGAATGAGCTGGACAGTCTTTACACACTGTTCACAGCACTGATAGTATTCTTAGATTACCTTGAAGAATGAACTGGGTCTGAAGGATGAAAGAACTCAGAAACTCATTATGTGAATGGAGATGCTCCTCGCATGTCGGCCATGATGCGCCAGTCTGTCAGATAAAATTGGTTTAAACAGCCGCAGATACAACTGATATCTGTGCATAACAGGGTTTTATGTGTCCCGCAATATGGAATGTCGACGCTTGATTATGTAATGCGTGGACGTGTCTCACAGTGCAAAGCATAACTAAACTGGATTCAGTGTTAAACTGATGTGAGAGAGTGAAGAGTGTGTCATTGTTCTCTACAGGTTGACTAATTGTGGTCTCACAGATGAAGGTTGTGCTGCTTTGGCTTCAGCTCTCAGATCAAACCCTGAACATCTTAGAGATCTGGATCTGTCATTTAATAAACTAGGAGATTCAGTGACTGTTCTCTCTGCTGTACTAGAGGATCCTCACTGTAAACTGGAGACCCTGTGGTAAGATCATATTTGACTCTCACATGTGAAACAGTGTAGTATCAGTGAAGCTCTTTCATTTATTTTCTGTTTTTATGAAATAAGCAATGCAGGAATAATACAGTAAAATGTACAGTAGGATACAGGAGGTGTTGATGTCCAGATTGCAACTCAGTGATTTGATGAAAAAAACATAAAATGACTTATTTTCAATATGAAAGTAATTGTGGACTGGATTTTTAAAAAACTTTTTATCAGTCTTGGACATGTAAAAGATTAGTAACAACATTGCCTTTGATGCACACTGCTGGCTTTGGTCTGACTCAGATGAAAAGGATTAAAATGCAGTCATCTCACAAAATCCACATCACTCATTGGCCAGATGTTGTTAAACATAATTCCTAAACTGCTTATTGATTGGTCAGAAGAATTCATGGGTGGGAAATGCCAATGGAACTACCGCATGTAAACAAACCGGCAGACACAAAATGTCGCTTTTTACTATGGAGCTACGACTGCGCTGACTGATTGTATCCCTGGTCATAGTATACTATATAGTTTGCATACATCACTTTAGACAAACTATACATTGAGAATGAAGCGTGGGACAATATACAATTGGAGGAGACTTTAACTGTGTACTAGACATGAAACTTGATCGATCTACAGGCATAGACAACACTCATCAGAAATCAAGGAAAATTGTTTAAAACATGTACAGTTGAAGTCAGAATTATTAGCGTCCCTTTTAATTTATTTTTATTTTTTTTTATATTTCCCAAATGGTGTTTAACAGAGCAAGGAAATTTTCACAGTATGTCTGATAATATATTTACTTCTGGAGAAAGTCTTATTTATTTTATTTCAGCTATAATAAAAGCAGTTTTTAATTTTTTAAACACCATTTTAAGGTCAAAATTATTAGCCCCTTCAAGCAAAATTTTTTCCGACTGTCTACAGAACAAACCATCGTTATACAATGATTTGCTTAATTACCCTAACCTGCCTAGTTAACTTAATTAACCCAGTTAAGCCTTTAAATGTCTCTTTAAGCTGTATGGAAGTGTCTTGAAAAATATCTAGTAAAATATTATTTACTGTCATCATGACAAAGATAACATAAATCAGTTATTAAAGGTGAGTTATTAAAACTATTATGTTTAGAAAAGTGTCAAAAAAGCTTCTCTCCGTTAAACAGAAATTGGGGAAATAAACAGGGAGTCTAATAAATCACGGGGGCTTATAATTCTGACTTCAACTGTATATATCCTGAAAATGCGTCAGTGAACGCAAACAAAAAGAAACGTATAGATTTCAGCTTTATACAAGCTAAACGTGTTAAAGCTTTGATATATAAAATTACCTGTTCTTGCACAATGGATAAATAAAATGTCTGATAATCTTGCTCTTGAAAAATTAACATACGTAATCAGAGGTAAAGAAGAGACTTTTAAACAGTGTGGTCCCCTTTCAGTTGCTTTGTTAATGGATAGAAAAAAGGATGTCTCTGAAAAGATGACTGTAATTTAAAATTTAATGTGATACCTTTTTTTGTATTTTATTTTCCAGTATTGTATTTTATTCTATTTCATAAATTATTTTTGTTTAACAAATGTTGGTGTGGGAATGTAGATTCTGAGATTCTGAAATATCATAAGTTAACATTCTGCACTGTTTGTTGGGTTTTGTAATATAATTAAAATCAATAAAAATCAAAGTTTAATAACAAAATAAGTAAAACTTCTTTCAAAAACATCTAAACATCTTGATGATCTCAACCTTTTAAAGCGTAGTGTACACATTGCTACAGATATAAATTACAGTTCAGTTAATCAGTGCTGTAAACAGAGACGTTCATTATAAAAGATTTAGCCTGAGAGAGAAATTTGACAAAAACTTTAGCACTTCCACAGCACAGATATGAACAGATATTTATTCAGCCTGAATCAGATGTTTGATGTTTTATGATCATATTTTGTACTTTAATAATGGATTCAGTGAACTGATGTGATGTGAGAGAGTGAAGAGTGTGTCATTGTTCTCTACAGGTTGACTAATTGTTGTCTCACAGATGAAGGTTGTGCTGCTTTGGCTTCAGCTCTGAGATCAAACTCTGAACACCTGAGAGAACTAGATCTGGCATTAAATAAACTAGGAGATTCAGTGACTCTTCTCTCTGCTGTACTGGAGGATCCTCATTGTAAACTGGAGAGACTGGGGTAAGATCATATTTGACTCTCACATGTGAAACAGTGTAAAGTATCTGTGAAGTGTTGAGTCTCTTTCTGCAGCTTCTCTGATCTTCATTATTTCCATATTCATTATTGCTCTTTCATTTATTTTTTATCAGTTTTTATTAAATAAGAAATGCAGGAATACTACAGTTAATGTACAGGAGGATACAGGAGGTGTTGATGTCCAGATTGTGACTCAGACAGGCTGATTTGACTGATATCCATTATTGTTTCTGATGGAGAAACACAATCACCATGAGCTCAGTGTTATTGTGCTGATAGAGCTGAACACACAGCAGCACTGAGCTCTCATCTAGACATTTACAGTGGACAAGATTGACAAATCAACATTGCAGCCGGTTTGATTTGATTGTAATCTCTTCAGTATCAGACAGGCCTTTAGTGTTTCAGATCTCAGAGACTGAAAGCTCTTTTAGTCAAGCACCATTGGCTGACTGCAATAATTAAAGTGATAAATGATTTTTTTTATCATCACTAACATCATCAGACTAAAGATGTTTACTTGTTTTATAAAGAATTATTCATATTATTTTGATCATCTGAGAGTTGATTGTTGAAAACATTTGAAACATTTGATTCTGCTTAATATTTTAGTGGAAACTGCAATATATTTCACTTTCAGGATCCTTTGATGAATAGAAAGTTCAGAATAACTGCAACTGTTTGACTAAATCTTTTCAACAATGCAATATTTTACAGTCGTTTCTGATCCATTTATTGTGTCTTTAATGAATCTAAATATTATTTACATCTTTAATGGCACTTTTGAATGCTGATTATATTTTAAATATGAAAGAGCAAAACTGATTCAACATTGATCAAAATAAAGCAGCAAATCAGCATATTATAATGACTGTAGTCTAGAGTAATGATGCTGAAATACAAATATATTCACAGAGAAAATAGATATTTTAAATTAAAATAATGATGAATTTTATTATCTAATAATGAAACTTCTTTCAAAAGCATCTTAAATCATAATGATCTCAACCTTTTAACCTGTTGTGTACATATTACTACAGATATAAATAACAGTTCAGTTAATCAGTGCTGTAAACACAGATATTAATTATAAAAGATTTAGCCTGAGATGGAAATTTCCCTGCTGAAAAATCCAGCTTAAACCAGCCTAGGCTGGTTGGCTGGTTTTAGCTGGTCGACCAGGCTGGTTTTAGAGGGGTTTTGGCCACTTCCAGGCTGGTTTCCAGCCATTTCCAGCCTGGTCTTAGCTGGTCAGGCTGGAAAATGACCAGCCAAATCCAGCTAAAACCAGCTTGACCAGCCTGGTTTAAGCTGGATATAGCTGGTTTTGGCTGGACTTCCAGCTAGGCTAGGCTGGTCAAGCTGGTTTTAACTGGATTTGGCTGGTCATTTTCCAGCCTGACCAGCTAAGACCAGGCCCGAAATGGCTGGAAACCAGCCTGGAAGTGGCCAAAACCCCTCTAAAACCAGCCTGGTCGACCAGCTAAAACCAACCAACCAGCTTAGGCTGATTTAAGCTGGATTTTTCAGCAGGGTTGACAAAAAAAATTCACAGCACAGATATAAACAGATATTTATTTAGCCTGAATCAGATGTTTGATGTTTTATTATCATATTTTGTGTTTCTGATGTGATGTGAGAGAGTGAAGAGTGTGTCATTGTTCTCTACAGGTTGAGTAATTGTGGTCTCACAGATGAAGGTTGTGCTGCTTTGGCTTTAGCTCTGAGATCAAACCCTGAACACCTGAGAGATCTGGATCTGTCTGAAAATAAACTATCAAAATCTACAGTCAAGCTGTTCTCTGATCTAAAAGACGACTCGCATAATAAACTGAAAACATTATACATTTGTGAGTATGTTTTTAAACTGTAAAGTTGACTTGAGTTCAGTAACAGGCCTCGTGTGTGTAAATGGAGAATATCTAATAATTAAGCAGCTTCTCTTTAGTCTGTGCTAACTGTTTAGCTGGAGGCTATAGACCTTTTTTATGGCTGCTGCATGGAGGGCGCCATAGCGACCAGCGTCTTCCGGTAGAATGCTAAAAACTTCCGTTTACAGCGTGTACAACTGGTAATTTGCGCTCGGAAAATGGGTTTCAATGATGTTTTTAGTGGATAACAGAGTGTTTTTGTGACACACAACTTAGAAATGTGTCTGTTAAAGCCGTTATAATCTGTCACATGTGGTTCAAGCGCGTTAGAAATACGAGAAAAACGTTCTCCTAGTTAACGTGTCTGCCGTCAGAAATAGTGTGTGTGTGTGCGTTCCCAGCCTGTCAGCTGTTAGCTCAGCGGCTCTTTAGCACACACACACTCACAGAGAGAGAGAGAGAGAGAGAGAGAGAGAAAGCAAACCAGAGTACTGGCATAAAACTTAACAGGTATGAAAGTCGTGCAATTTACAAAAATAACCAATAAAAGTCTGTTATTGATCCTCTGCTGGCTGATTTGCTGTTCATTCTAATCGCGAGCCGTTTGTGTTTTATTTCGTGTGTTGTTTTTACCACGGTTTGTGTCATTTCGAAATGACACTAGCCTATATTTTCACTTTGTCACAGTTATTAAATCAGTGTGTCAGAGGCACAGTACAGGCTACGTGTGTGTGTCAAACATTTTGGTGAACTACATTTGTTTGGGCTGGTTATATATTTGAAATAAAGAGAAAATGTTGACTTTAGCGATGACGAGGCTTCATTTACACTCCAGAATATGCCGTCTGACAACGAGGGGAAAATGCCTCACAGCAGCTGTTTTCCATCCTATTAGAGACCGCATTTCTTTAAATGATCAGTCCAGGAGATGGTGCTGATGGACAACAGTATTAGTTCAAAGAGGATAAAAGCAGGTAAAATAGACTAAAACTATCGTTTCAAAGCTGTCCAAATGTGACTGTTTACACGCATCAGCTGCCGATCGGAAGTTCTTCGCATTCTCCTTGCGCATACATGCAAAGCATAATGGGTAATTTTGCGTTCCAAGAAAAAGGTCTATAAACCCTTAGTTATCTGCTTGAGTTTTTCTGAAATGGATCTGCTGATTTGATTTGACTCATATGTGTGTGTGTGTGTGTGTGTGTGTGTGTGTGTGTGTGTGTGTGTGTATGTATGTGTGTGTGTGTTTTATTGCAGGATTCTCAGTGTTTAGTTTGCTCAGGATCTGCTGATGGTGAATGAGGAGAAATGTCACAGACACACAATCAGCACACACTGAAGACACACAGACTCACACTGACTGCACTGGTTTGTTTTTATATGTAATGACAAGGAAAATGTAAATGACTCCATTATCTTGTTCAGATATTGATTAGTGTATACTAGAAAAGAGGATTTGACTATGACAACACTAAAACACATTTGTTTTTATCAGCTAGTCTTTGATAAATAAATATAAATATGAAATGTGTTGTGCAGTACAGACAGCTCTGTTATGTTGGAAAAATCAGATTCATTGGCTAAAATTACTCTTTGTTTTTAGTATAAACTTGGTTTAACAAGGTTTACATGGTGAAAGTCCAGATTTAAACTACAGAAGAGATGCAACAGAAATGTGTCCGTCAGCACAGAACACGCTCCTCTATTAATGTTCTCACTCAACTTTCCTCAGTGACAAACATTTCTGAAAGAGCTGAAACAAACTCAGAGCAGTCACTGTTGAAGACTTGTTCAGTATCTACAGAGAACTATATCCAATGATTTGGAGTTGAGTGAAGACTCAAATATTTAGTAAAGATGAGCTGATTGAAAGATCAGATTTTACTGATGCTACAAATAGATATTTTCAGTGTTTTGAATAAATACATGAAGGAATTTTGCTGCAAAACAACCAAGCAGCTGTAAAATTGTCGTTTTTAGTAACGAATGGCCAAAGATGTGTGTCAGTAAATTTGTACTCACAGAGCAAATTTTATTTTATTATCTTCAACAAACACAACACAACATTTACACCTTTTCAAATCCTTCAGTGCAGGTCCACAAATCCTATTGGACCAATCACACATGGAGAAGCTCATCCGCTCATGTGCTCTGGTGTAGTGAATATGAAGCAAAACACATTCACACACACCTGCATCACAGACAGAGTTTGCACATCGGCAGATAAGAGTGTGTGTCCACGCAAAAAGAGTTGCTGCATGTTGGATATTTTATTTTTCCTAGCACCAACACAACTACATTACTCCAACGGCTTGAATCTGCTGCTACAAGTCTTAAGTTCATTTTTCACTGGCAAATGTCTGTTTTGCTCTCTCTCTTGCGCCACACATCATTCTGATATTTGGTGCAAAGGTGATTTGTGCCTCTGCAAAAGCAAATGTGGGCTCTGTCTTAGAATCAGGAGCTATTCAACAATCACTGAAAATAGTTCACTGTGCAGTGCTAAGAGCAGTAATATGTGATGGCAGTAAAGTGTTTAACTCAGCATCAGCATCTTCAGAAATGAGGTGGAATAAAATCTCAGTCCTTAAGAACAGGATGAGGAGCTTCAGATCATCCTCATTCTCAGTGCTGGAGGTGGAAATGCAGAGGAACTTTAGAAATAATAAACAGCTAAAGATGGTGTAATGCTGTTTTTAAGAGGGAAAACTGAGACTCCTCCAGTTAAAGAAGAACTGGAATCATCTTGGGGGAATGCGTATACTGCAGAAATAATAGCCGCTTTGTAATGAATTGCTGATTTAGATGCCAAGAAAATCAGACAAACAGCATTAAATAAGTCAGACAGGAGCGATTCCTACAATATTTCATTAGCTGACCCAGACTGCAGTAGAGGTAATGAAGAGGAAAGATGTCTGCCTAAAGAAGCTGGCACAATACATTAAACACAATATTTAATAATACTCCAGTTTATACAGAGACTAATCAAAAACTCCTGACTCAGGTTATACAGCAGCAGAAGGACACATACTGTATCAAGAGTTTATTTGTAAAAAGATAAGTCCATTTTTTTCGTACTTGTGAGATCTCATGCTTTGTTGTTCATTGAAGAGTTTAATTAGAAAAACGCTGATTCAGGTAAATGACTGAAACTGGAGGTTTTATTTGTATCAGGAAATTGTGTTTTTACTTTTAGTGTTGAAGAGTTTATTTGCAAAACAAGTTATATTTCAGAAAAATTCTGATCAAAATGTTAAAATGAACTCTTCATTTTTCAGCCTTTATAATACAATGTTCAGATGTTGAATGATCATTGCACAGAGATGATGGAAATTTTACTGGCCACACAATGAGCGGAAACACAATCAACAGATATTGCGCTGTTTCCACTCATCATCTGCAGTAAATGGTTTAAAGCAGTGGTCAACAAACTTGTTCCTGGAGGGCCGGTGTCCTGCAGATTTTAGCTCCAACCCTAATCAAACACACCTGAACAAGCTAATCAAGGTCTTAGTTATACTTGAAACATCCAGGCAGGTGTGTTGAGGTAAGTTGGAGCTAAATCCTGTAGGGACACCGGCCCTCCAGGACCAGGATTGTTGACCCCTGGTTTAAACTGTAGGAGATCATCTTCAAGACAGGATTTTCTGTATGAAATGTGGACTAAATTTATACTAAAATCAAAGAGAAACGCTCATGTATAGTAGGAGTAGAGGTGAAGTGACTTGTCATGGTTTATTCCTTACAAAAGCCGTTACTATCAGACATTGTTTACTTCACTGAGTCATTTTAGTGGTGAAGGGATTGATCGAATAGGCGTGTTGGTGGGTAAGGTTTGAGAAGGAATGTCAGGCTCTTTTAAAAGTATTGTGTAGTATTTTAAAAATAAAAATACAGTATTTGATTTTGATGCATGTTGTCGCTGCTGTATTTTGTAGTTTATTTTGATACACTTAAAGCTGAGGTATTTGGTGTTTTATTTTAATGCATTTTAAGGTATTTTTGTCCATCCCTGCTATCACATGAGTCTTATTGTGAAAAAAAAAAACAATTAATGTATTACAGAAACTGGCTCAGCATCCTGTGTGAACTTTCATTAGTAGATCAAATCTGACATTCAGCATTTAATCCTAAAACAACTACGAGAACTAAAGCAGTTGCCCAATTGTGAAGTAAACATGATCTGCAGTCAGTGTTGGGTAAAAAGGTAATCTGCTACAATTTGAAGACTTTCTTACTCTTTCTTTAAAAAAAAAAAAAAAAAAAGGAAAATAAAAGCACAAAAATAACACTTTCACATTCATTTCTTTAAATAGTAACTAACACATTTAGTTGCCCAAAACGGTCTGCAACCAGAAATTGTGTTTTCAAAACTTTTGAGACCCAAAGGATGAATTGTCAGCCTGTTCATGGTCATGTTATGAAGCTCTCAAGTTTAATTAGCTGTCAGATTCATTAATTTTCCCCGTTGATTTATTCGGTTTATTGTGTTTTGTCCTAATAAATCAATTATATTTTGTTGATATGTGCAAATACATGTTGAAAGCTGTTATTACCCCTATATGTGATTAAATCCTTGAATAAACTGCAGAATCAGCGAGAGTCCATCAAAGATTATGGTAAGATGCTCTGTCGCGCGCAGAGGACAGAGATACAGACAGACACTCAGAGAGAAAGAGATTCCTCAACCAAAAGCTTTCTTTGACATGTTTGGGTCAAATGACATGTTAATATCCACTTATCTGTTTTCCAAAATCGCGTATCCCATTTCGGGTCACATGATGTTTATTAAATATTATTTAAAAACTACTTTTTTTTTTTACATTAAATGTAATGTTTTTACGGTAAGATCTGTTTTAGAAAAGAATGTGGCTCCACCTGGTGGACATTACCACTGTGCATCATGTGACGTCACCCTCCCTACGTCACGAGTGCAAAGTGAAAGCAAAGTTTTCCGTCGAGTCGATCCGTTAGTCTTCATTATGGAGCATCACAATAGTTCATAAGAACTGTTTAAAAACAAACCAGGAGTTTACATGTAGCTGAAGCATTTGTTAAAACTGGAGTAGTTAAAAGGATTATAACTATCAACTCAGTCTTAACGCACATCTACAGTTTATGGTTAATGAAGGTGAGTGAAACAGGAAATTGCGACTTCATGTTTTTTTTTAAAGAAAACGTATCCGTAGCACGAGGTCCAGAATTTGTTTCATAAATGAGCTTATTTGTACTACTTTTACGGCTTTGGCATAATAAATTGTGAAAGTAACCCCATTTGAAAAAGGCTTTAGGATCAAGTGGAATCTTGTCTGTGTGCTGGCCATTTTGTTATTATGCCTAATAATAAATGACAATAGGCTAGTTTTAATTTTAAACTTTAACAGATTCCTATTTTTTTTTCTAATGGTATATGATGTAACACCTGTATTTAAAAATACGTATTGTTCTCATATTTCTTGTTTAGGAAATGCTTTGACACATCAAAAAGTGTGGTTATGATGACCATCAAACAAGCTAATCCAGCTAAAGATAGTGCTTAAAATGTCACTAAAATTCAGGATTTAAACCCCTTAATTAAATAGAAAATGAGGCGAATAGCTGCAAAAAGGTCCACCTCTTTCACCAGACTGCTGGCCTGAAATTCAGCTTTTTTATTTGTATAGCGCTTTTACAATGTAGATTGTGTCAAAGCATCTAAATGTAAATATGATTTAAATGTGTTTGATATGTTTATAAAAGTGTTTAACATAAACCTTTTTAAACCTGAACACATGTTGAGTTAGCCTGCTCTCATCAAGAGTGGAGTTTGTTCATCTGCAGGAAATGCAGTTTGATCTGAGGCTGTGTTTTTCCTGTGGATTATGTTTAGACGTGATTCCTCGATGTGTTTGTAAAATTCCTCATTTAAAAGTAATTTAACCTGGTTTATTTTCTGCTCATTATTGACTCAGTACTCGTTCAGCTGAATTATTGTTTCTTTGTTCTTTCTGTCCAATCAGTGGTGCAGATCAGGTTCTGTTTCATAATGGACGACACACAAATATCCAGAGATGAAAATGTTTCTCCAGGATGCAGGTACTTTGAGTTTAATTACACAAGTAATGGAGAGGAAAGTAAACTGCTGTGAAGTTAATGTACAAATGTAGGCCAGATCCTTTACAGTGTGCTGTTTTATATAAAGTGCTATTTTAAAAACGTTATTAACTTTATTTAAATATTAAAGTGATTAAGATAACTTTATCTGTTATTTTCTGTTATAGTTCTGTTCATCAGAAGAGATCAGATCCAGAGCCCAGCTGTGTGTCTATGAGGAGTGACCAGTCTAGGGATCTTCCATATAATTTTAAGAGTGAAGATACACCGACTGATCTCAGGTATAAGATTTCTACTGAAGATACTGTAGAAACTTTAATGCTACAGTGTTTTTGTTGTATATTATATTATCTCTATATTTTTTATTGGTCTCTAATATTTTAATAGTGTTGCTCAGATGAGATACTGTTTGTAAAATGATCAGTTTACTGTTTGGTATAAACAGTGTAAAATAAACTATTATTATTCTAGGAGTCTTTTCTTCATTGCTTTAATTTTTTCAACAAAAACTTCCAGGATTTGTCTTGCGGAGTATGTGTTTCTTTCCTTGTCATCCTTGGCTAAATAGTTCACTCTTTCCTGTGAGTAAATTATATTTTGATGGTTAGTGTTTACATACAAGAGCTCGACCGGGATGTGCTCGCTACTTTTTAAACAGGATAATAAAGTTAAACTATTACAATTTAGCAGTAATTAATTAGCTGTAGCTGCAGTATTTGTTGTACTTGATTATGTTAATACATAAATACAGAGGTTCTTAAGAACAAATTTGAAGCCACCTTAAGATTTTTTTTCTAGAATTGCACTTCTAGTCGCAGCACAACACGAGAACAGTAAATTCTGTGTATAATTAAACTTAAACTCTGTGAAAATGGCCATATAATGTAAAACATTTGTACTTTGTTTATTTGTATTTGTTGTAGTTTATTTCATCACAAGAGAACAGAAGCAGAGTCCAGCCGTGTGTCTATGAGGAGTGACACGTTTATGAATCATCCAGTAAATATGGGGAATGGAGAAGCACAGTGTAATATCAGGTAAACTATTTCTGGAAAAGATTTAATCACAGAAATTAAAAAGGCAGCATGCTTATTAACTCATGTTACTATGTGGTATTTTCCAGGCAAAACCTGCTAAACACATTTAGATCAAATCTGCTGAAGAAGTTTGAGTGTCTGTATGAGGGAACAGCGGCGCAGGGAAACCCAACACTCCTGAATGAGATCTACACAGAGCTCTACATCACAGAGAGTGAGAGTGGAGAGATCAGTCATGAGCATGAGGTGAGACAGATTGAGACACAATCCAGGAGATCAACAACAGAGGACACAGCGATCAAATGCAGAGACATCTTTACACCTTTACCTGGACAAGACAAAGCCATCAGAACTGTGCTGACGAAGGGAGTCGCTGGCATCGGAAAAACAGTCTCTGTGCAGAAGTTCATCCTGGACTGGGCTGAAGAGAAGGAGAATCAGGACGTCCAGCTCATATTTCCACTTCCTTTCAGAGAGATCAATCTGATGAAGGACAAAACACTCAGTCTGTCAGATCTTCTTCAGCTCTTTTTCCCTCAAACTAAAGAAATGGAAATATTCAGTGACAAATATAAAGTGCTGTTCATCTTTGATGGTCTGGACGAGTGTCGTCTCCCCTTAAATTTTAAAAGGAATGAGACTCTGAGGGATGTGACCAAAACATCATCAGTGGACGTGCTGCTGACCAACCTGATTGTGGGGAATCTGCTTCCCTCTGCTCTCATCTGGATCACCTCCAGACCAGCAGCAGCAGATCTCGTCCCCTCTGAGTGTGTCCATCGAGTGACAGAGGTACGAGGCTTCAATGACCCTCAGAAGGAGGAATACTTCAGCAAGAGAATCAGAGATCAGAGTCTGGCCAATACAATCATCTCACACCTCAAGTCCTCCAGGAGCCTCTACATCATGTGCCACATCCCAGTGTTCTGCTGGATCTCAGCCACTGTTCTGGAGAAGATGTTGAGTGAAGCAGAGACTGCAGAGATTCCCAAGACTCTCACTCAGATGTACACACACTTCCTGATCCTGCAGACCAACATCAAACATCAGAAGGACTATGAGGAGAAGCTGACAGATGAAGACATGATCCTCAAACTGGGGAAAGTGGCTTTTCAGCAGCTCATGAAAGGCAATATAATCTTCTATGAGGAAGACCTGAGAGAGTGTGGCATTGATGTGGCTGAAGCTTCAGTTTACTCAGGATTGTGCACTCAGATCTTCAGAGAGGAGTTTGGCTTGTATCAGGGGAAAGTCTTCAGCTTTGTTCATCTGAGCATTCAGGAACATCTAGCAGCTCTATATGTGCACCTCTCCTGTATAAACAACAATGTAAATGAGTTTGATCAAATCAACAAACAGAGTTTGTGGTTTAAAGTTAAAGACTTGTTTCAGCTCAATTCTTCAGAATGTGTTTCTTTATCTGAGCTGCATCAGCGAGCTGTAAATGAGGCTCTACAGAGTAAAAATGGACATCTGGATCTTTTCCTGCGATTTCTTCTGGGTCTGTCAGTGGAGTCTCATCAGATTCTCCTACAAAGACTACTGACACTAAAAAGCAGATCAATCCAGAAAATTAAAACAGTCGAGTACATCAAGAAGAAGATCAGGAAAATTGACTCTCCAGAGAGATCCCTCAATCTGTTTCACTGTCTGAATGAACTGGGTGATCATTCACTAGTGGAGGAAATACAGCAGTATCTGAAATCTGGAAGAATAAAGCAGTCCAAACTCTCTTCATCTCAGTGGTCAGCTGTAGTGTTTGTTTTGTTGACATCAGAAAATAAACTGGATAAGTTTGATATTAATGAGTTTGTTGGAGAAAGCACCAAAGCTGAGAAACTGAAGATCCTTCAGAAGCTGCTGCCAGTGATCAAAGTTCAGTAAGTATCATTGAAAACAAACACGTCACTGTTAAAGCTCATTAAATGTAAATCTCATAGAAGTATCCTATCAGTTATTGAAGCAACATGGAAACCTTGTTGTAAAACCAGTTGACAACAGTTTAATATATTTTAATTATTATATTTAATATATAGATTTAACAATTATAATAATACTTTAATTTTAATTATTATGCTTATTCGAGAAACATTGTTTACCTCTTCATTTTACCTCTGTCACCGTGCAGATAGTGGGACACTTAAGTTCACGTCACTATATTGCAATCAAGTCCTAGTCTAAACATAAATGATTACCAATCTTTAATGCTTCGGTACAGATTTAAGCTTGGTCTCGTTTTAAGAAGGCACTTTCAGGTTGTAGCTAAAGTAAAAAAATACATTCAAATAGAAAAATGAAACAGAAGTTACATTCCTTTACAGCAATTTTATGAAAATGATAAAACAATAAATGTTTATTTTATTATAATAAATAACATTTTTATTTTTATTTTTTTACAAAATTAGTTTTAGTCTAAATTTAACAAAATGAAAGCTAAATATCTGAGCTAAATAAGTTCCAAATTTGTAGTTGATATTTCAAAAAAGGAGCTTTCAGTCAAATTTTATTTGGTCGCAATACCAGATATGACCACTAGTTTACATTCACTTTGCATATGAGGGCACCTCTTATTTCTGTGCATTTTGTGGAATATGAACCATGTTTTATGCTTTGGACAATTTGTTAAGTAGTTTGGGCAGTTTGATGGTGTTTGATTTTGAGTTTAGCCCCCAAAAACCAAGTAGAAATGTTTTACATGTGGATTGCTGTAGCAAAGCAATGCTTAACAACAAAGTATCCATGGAAGATTTTTTTTCTATTGTTCTGTTGTTTTTATATAGAAATAATGATAAGGAGTTGTTGTTGGCAAATAACAAGCTGGACTGAATCTTTAAACAAACAAGTTTCAGGTTATAAATGAGCTTAAATTATTTATATGGATTTGTTAATGTGTGTGTGTGCTCTGTTTTGGGTGCAAATGTGACAAATCTGAACTGATAAGCAAATATTTCAACATTAACAGTTTACCCAAGTTGGATCAACAGCTATGTTTCCATCCATCTATTTTTATGCACACTTTGGATATGCACATAAAAAATAGTTGATGAGTAGGATAAACTTTTTATTCAACTTATAAGCTACAATGGAAACACTTTAACTAAACAAATTCCAGTATTTGCATTAAAAAAGTCAAAGATTTTGTTGCAAGAGATCATATGATGATAAAGATATGTGTGAATGGACAAACCAGCAGCACATCGTAAAGCATCTGAAGTGCTGTTTTGGTCATTCTACAATGTCTTAACCATTTCAGTATTAGTGTTGTTATATTATTAATTACCTCCAGAATTGTCAAGAGTGTCTGTGTCTCACAGCATCAAATGCCAACACATTCATTCATTGCGTGTCAATACAGAAAAGATTCACGCAGCTTCTCCTACTGCAGCAAATAATTTTTACTGTTAATTAAGGTTTTACTGTTAATATTTGGCACCAGTTAATCAGAAAGTGACAATTTTGTTCTTGTTGACTTGTTGGATGGAAATATTGCTTTATTTGTCTTATTTGTCTTATCATTGTCTTATTGTCTTATTATTTATTTGTATTTGTCCAGTTTTATACATAAAGTTAGTTAGCTTTTTTTGGATTGAAAGTGTCACTTGGACAGAGCAAAAGTTGTAAAGTGTAGCTCCAAAATCAATACATATCACAAAAGCAAGACCAATAATAATATTAGCATAAGTTGAGAAGTGTTATATGTAGTAAATATATTGAGTGTCATTTGTCAAATTTTATTCTTGCTAATTAAAGTCACTGATCAAGTTTACCAAAATATTTTTTTTCATTGAGGCAATGGACAAAGTATCAAATATTTGAGTATTGTGTAGTGATGCATATTTTGGTGGCTGTATCGGTCTCAGTGGTTATTCAGCACACAGAATCAGTGGATTAGTGGTTAATTAATGTTACAGGGTTCATACGGTCATGGAAAACCAGGAAAAGTCATGGAATTTTGACATGGCACTTTCCAGGCCTGGAAAAGTTTTGAAAAAACAGAAAAAGCCATAAAGTTTTGGAAAAGTCATGGGGCTCTATTTTGATGATCCATGTGCAAAACGGAAAGCGCAGGGCGCAAACGCTTTCAGGGCGTGTCAGAACGCATTTTTGCTAATTTAAGGACGGGAAAATCCCCTTTGTGCCGTGGCGCATGGTCTAAAAGGGTTGAGTTTATTTTCTTAATGAGTTATAGGTGTGTTTTGAGAATAAACCAATCAGAGTCTCATCTCTCATTACCGTTAAGAGACAGCTGCGTCGCGCCATAAGCGCATTTGCTATTTACAGGACGCAAAGTAAGTGTAAGTGGAAATACTGAGCATTTCACAAGCAAACAGTTAAACGTTTTTTTTTTAACAGACAACAGTTAAATAGAGCATCTACCGTGAAAAATAAGAGATAATGGATCTACTTTCACTTTGCCTCTTGGATAGGGAAACCTTTATGCACAGACATCAATTAGCCTATAAATAATTATTTCGTTTGTTAAGTGCAAAGATTTGTTTCAAAACTATTTCTAAATTCAGTTCTAATTTCCAGCAAACGATTAAATGAACAATAATAACAAAATGTGCTCAAAAACCTGAGTTATATCCTAAAACACATGCTGTGCCCCATATGGTCTAAAACCTGCAGGTGGACAAATCTAAGCTTGTTTTTAATAAAACAAATATAAATATGGATATAATAAATAATACTGCTAATAATAATAACATTATACAAAAGCAAATTGTTATGAATGAATTGAAAAAGCCTCCCGAGATGAAGAAGGCAAAAAAACAGTGGTTTTTCTTATTTATGTAGGCTAGAAAATAATATATTTTGTAATATTTTAATCCTTTATGTTTATATCCTATATATATATCCTTAATATTTAAATTTTTCCTTCCTTTTTAGACCAGAACACGCCTATGGGCGCACATATAAGCGCAAATGCATTTGCTATTTAAACAGCATGGCGCAACGCCTCAAAATGACTCTTGCTCCAAGCTGAAACTATAGCAAACAGGTATTGCGCCGCGCCTTGCGCCACATTGCGCCAGGTGTATGATAGGGCCCATGGAAATTAGTTTAACAAATATTTGTATACTTGAATAAGAGCTGTGCAATGTTTGGAAAAATCTGACATTACAGTATTCTGTATTTCTGTGATATATATTGCGATGTAAATACAATTTCACTAGATGATTTAACAGATATATATATATTGACTAATTGGGAGGATTTTGTAGAAGAGTGAATCTCAAAAATATATATCAAATAAATTACAAGCATAGATAAAATAAAGCAAAGATAAAAGTGAAAAATAGTTTTCAGGGATTCACTATTCAGGTACAGATATTAAATAATTATCACTGCATAGTCTTCATTGTGTATTATTTAATCTTTATTAAAGTTACAAAAAACCTCTTGTGGCCGGATGTTTTAATAGTAAACGTGTATGAACCCTGCTGTTACCATTATTGACCAATCAACAAAATAAATTTACTCAGATAAACTATTATTATTCTGATTAGGATTATCCTGGCAGGTAATTCAGTTCAGATGTGCTGCTGACCATGAGGTTTTTTTTTTGTGCATCCACATTTATTTTATAAATCCACAAAACATCTACAAATGAAAACAGCAGACACACACTCAGAGGTGTAAAGTATTTGAGTAATTTTACCTGATTATTGTACTTAATTATTAATTTTGGCATTTGTGCATTACTTGTGTACATTTAAAATCAAAAATGTTTACTTGATTTACGTTTTTTAAGAAAAAAGCTATTTTATTTTTACTCCTTACAATTTTATTTACAGTCAAAAAGTAAACATTTATGGACATTACTTCACTGGATTTTCCCTTGATTAACCAAATCAATTGCACTAATGTGTTTAACAAGTGTGTCTTTATCTCTCTACAGTTTGAGGGATTGTGGTCTCACAGATGAAGATAGTGATGTTCTGACTTCAGCTCTGAGATCAAACCCTGTACACTTGGGATTTCTGAGTTTGTCGTATAAAAAACTAAAAGATTCAGGCATCAAGCTTCTCTCTGCTGTACTGGAGGATCCTCACTGTAAACTAAAGACACTGTGGTAAGATCATTATACATAGTAAGACAACAGATTAAAAAAAAAAACTTCTAAAATAAAGACTCAGTGAACACATTCAACATAAAAATTATTCTGATAAATGATAGTGAAGCATGAACTGGGTATGTGATGGTTTTACATGTTTACATATTGTGGGATATAAATGATATTAAAAAATAACAGGTTTTTGGAAGCATTGACATCAAAATACAATAAATCAGTACAAAATAAAATACATATATTAAACAGAAACACAAGAACAGAGGTGTAAAGTACAATAATAAAGAATCAAACCATTTACAAACTATATCTTATCTGGGCTCAAATGAGTTGGCAGCGTAAGCTTGCGCACCTGGAACTTATTGCCAATTAGCTTCACATATAAGGACAGGAAAATCAAGGAAACACCATCCTTTTAAGCTGAAGAGACTGATACTTACAGCTAAGGAACAGTCATTTTGGCGAAGCTAAATAGCATTTCCGTTTCCCTCCTCGGGGAACGAGGGTTACTTTCGTAACCAAAGCGTTCCCCTTCAGATTGGGAACTTTAACGCTATCAGTGGATTTAATATTATTAATCCACCAATGGGGGAAATGTCTGGAAAACGCCATATGACTGCACCTTACCTTCGCCTCCGATGAGAGGATAGCCAGGCATAGCGTGAGCGCTCATGCATCAAAGAGAGTCTTCCAACGTGATCCCTGGCCCTTACTTATCCCACTTCAAAAGAAGTTTTACAGATTTAGATATATTTTTTGGGAAGTTGCAAGCGTCTAGATAATTCTAGGAAATACGACAGTACATTGGGAAGCGTGCAGTCCCGATAGGGAGGACGCTGCGGAGGCCATCTGCTACCCAATGGCCGAGATCCTAAAAGGACCTGAGAGGGGGGCGGGGTGGATTAATTCGCCTAGCACATCTGAGGAACCGGATGATGAGGTTATGCGTTCCCACGGTGCTGCCAGCCACCGCGTCATGAGAGCGGAGATGACAGCCACGTAACCTTGAATGTGGAGGGCGACAGCCTGCTCTCCAGCTTCTCTTGGCGTAAGAAAACACAACGCTGATCTAGCAAATTTCGGGGGTCTTCTCAGCAAGAGATGCACCATTCAGTGAATAGTCTCCACTTCACAGCATAGGCGCGCTCGAAGAGGGGGCTCTAGCCCGAGTGACGGTATTAACCACCGCAATCGGTAGGTTACCTAAGTCTTCCTCGCGTCTAAGGACCACCCGTGGAGGTTCCAAAGATCGGGGCGAGGGTGCCAGATGGTGCCTGTCTCTGAGAGAGTAGGTGCTCTCTCAAAGGGATCTGCCAGGGGAGGGCCATCGCGAGGAGGGAGAGCTCTGACATCCAGGTTTCGTTGGGCCAGAGGGGCGCAACCAGCAACCTGTTCCTCGCGCGAGCAGGCTCACTGGGGGAAACCCCGAGGCCAGCTGTGAGCCAGTGCATCCATGCCGAGAGAGCCCTCGGTCAGGGAAAAGAACAACTGCAATGAGCGTTCTCGGGGGAAGCAACAGATCGATCTGGGCTTCCCCGAATCATGCCCTTATCAGCTGAAACGACTCGGGGTGGAGTCTCCATTCTCCAGGACGTAAAGGCTGCCGTGAAAGCGCATCGGCTGCACGGTTCAGCTTGCCTGAAATGTGAATGCCGCACAGCGATTTTAGCCGCGGATGACTCCAGAGGAGCAGATGGCGGGCGAGCTGAGACATGCGGCGAGAGCGAATACCCCCCATGTGGTTGATATACGCCACCGCCGCCGTGCTGTCCATCTTGACCAGCACGTGTTGCTGCTCCAGCAATGGAAAAAACGGTGGAGAGCGAGGAACACTGCCAACCATTCCAGGCGATATGCCAATGCAACTGGGTTCTTTTCCACAGGCCCGCAGCTGCATGCCCGCAACGCACAGCCCCCCAGCCTGTGCTGGAAGCATCTGTTGAAACAGCAACATGACTGGACGCCTGTCCTAGAGGCACTCCGGCCTGTAGGAACGAGGGGTCGTTCCAAGGGCTGAGGGCTCGGCAACACATCGCAGTAGCAGTGACTCTGTGTGCACTCGCGTGCCATGCGCGTTTGGGGACTTGATCGTAAGCCAGTGCTGGATTGGTCTCATATGGAGTAATCCGAGCGGCGTGAAGCGGCTGCGGATGCCATATGCCCCAGGAACCTCTGAAATAATTTCAGTGGGACCACTATTTTGCTGTCAAGCGCTCTCAGACAGTTCAGCATCAGCTGAGCGCGCTCTCCGGAGAGGCGCGCTGCCATGGTGACCAAGTCCAGCTCCAGTCCGAGAAAATAGATCCTCTGCACAGGGGCGAGTTTGCTCTTTTCTCAGTTGACCTGAAACCCCAACAGGTGGAGGTGCCAGAGCACCTTGTCTCTGTGCATAATCAATTGCTCCGAGAGTGGGCTAAAATCAGCCAGTAGTCGAGATAATTGAGTATGCGGATGCCCGTGAGCCGAGGAGGCGCTAAGGCACCCTCCGTGAGCTTGGTGAGGACCCGCAAAAACAGAGAGAGCCTGAAGGGGAGGACATTGTATTGTCAAGCTCAACCTTCAAGTGCAAACCGCAGAAACTGACATTGGCGGAAGAATGGAGACATGGAAACACGCATCCTTCAGGTCTATTGCTGCAAACCAATCCAGTGGACGAACGCACCGGAGGAGGCACTTCTGCGTGAGCATTCTGAACGGCAGCTTGTGCAGACAGCGGTTCAAAACGCGTAGATATAGGATTGGCCTTGACCCACTGCTCTTTTTGGGCAGGATGAAGCGCGGGCTGTAAAACCCACTCTCCATTTCGGCTGGAGGGACTGGCTCGATTGCATCCTTCGCCAGGAGGACAGCAATCTCCTCTCCCAAGACAGGGGTGGGGGGGTCGTTTCGCGAACTGAATGGCATAGCCGAGTCTGATGCGAGCCGAGTGCGTTTGAGCCACCGCGAAGTGCTGGCCGCACTAACCAGGCAGGCAGAGCTCTCGCTAATGGACTCATCGCTACAATCGCTGATGTACCAACAGTGGGGCAGCGCGGAGTGGGTGTTCTGATCCGGGAAGCGCGAGGGTCCGGCGGAAGAGCTGGAGGCGAGAGATTTGCTTTCACTCCGCACCCAAACTCCTGAGGGGAGGCTCGAGAGTTGGGAGAAAGGAGACCGTCCTCCCAGCACTCTTGAGCCACTGGCGAAACGCACCGAACTTGCGAGCTAGAAGCATAGCGTCTCAGACTGGCAGATTTTGGGCTGTCACATCCGGGGAAGTGGAAAAGTGCTCTTTCATTGATGTTTTCATTGCATTTAAAAGTGCCGTTGGAAATGGGGCCCCACACGGCGGGCGCCACCCTCATGCAGCTCGACCAGCGCCTGCGCTTTGTATCGATGGTAGGTGGCCATCGCGTGCAAGGCAGAAGCAGCCTGGCCTGCAGCCATGTAAGCTCTATAGCTTCGAGGGAGGCAGATAACTTACAGGCTTTGGACAGGAGACGAGGCAGACCCCGCCAAGAAGAGGCGTCACGCGGACAAAGATTGACCGCAATCGTGCGCTCAACCTTAAAAAAATTGCCACATACCCCCTGGCTGCTCCACCGTCAAGAGTGGTGAGGGCGGAGGGACACAGCACGGGCAGAAAAAAAAGTGTCCTCCAAGACTGTGTGAGCCTACTGTGCACCTCCGGGAAGAAGGAGACGAGAGGCATTGAAAGCTTCGCCCTCTGGCCCTCTACATAGCACCCATCTAGTCAGTCCGGCCATGGAGCTGGGGGTTAAACCATCTCCAACCCTCGGACAAAGCAGCCCGGGAAAGCACGGCTAACATGTCCGTTTCAGGATCCGTCTTGACAGCGCTCACCTGCCCGGAGGGGGCGAGCGGGTCTGGATCATCATTGGACAATGAAAGCCCACCCTCCGAAGCCGCGGTGGACGTCTGGTCTCCGGTGTTATAGAGCGTAGGGGCTACCATCTGGTTAGACGGATCGCTTCCTCCGCCCGAAGCTTGGATGGAGCGCTTAGAGGAGCGGGAGGTCCGCGGGCCAGTGGGCGATGGATTATCTCTCGCTGAACCCCTCAGATCTACCCGAGTGCCCGCTGCAGTGCAGGGGACAGCTGGGGTGGTTTGCCCTTTTGCAAAGGCTAGCTGCGATCTTAACTGCGCAACAGTCATGACATCGCAATGATGACATGAACTGCCCGCGAGCGGCGCATTAACATGCTGGACCCCCAGGCATGCAACGCAGTGCCCGTGCCCATCATCCAGGGACAGGAAACCGCCGCATCCAGAAACGCACGGTCGGAGCGCCATCCTGAAAGGGACGTGCTGCACGACTGTGTTGCTCTCTTTGTGAAGTTGCAACTTTATATGCACCGCTCTGGAGGACCAGACCCAAAGAACGCCAGGCAAGGGAGAAACCCAGCTCGACCATCTGCCGCTGCGTGTACACACTCTGGACCGGGAGAATGCTCTCGTTCGCTCAAAATCGCTGAATCACAGCAGGAGGAACCCTCATCGACTCTCTCAAAAGGCTGTTATAGTCTCTGAAGCGAAAAGGGATGGCGTTTCCTTGCTTTCCCTGTCCTTATATGCGGAGCTAATTGGCAATAAGTTCCAGGTGCGCAAGCTTGCGCTGCCAAATCATTTGGCATTTCATTGGCCCGTTATATACTCTTTCAGACAATTGGCTTTCTGAAACGAAATCCCCATTCGTGGATTAATAATATTAAATCCACTGATAGCATTGAAGTTCCCCATCCGAAGGGGAACGCGCTGTTTCATTCACACACATACATAAGCGTGCTCGCTCGCTCGGTAGTCGGAAGCGATATTGCTAGACAGCCTGCTCCCATCCCAATTTAAACCCTTTTCCGACTGCTCCCTGCAGAAATCTGGTCGGGTCCAGCAGCTCCCGTGGGAATGCAGACCTCTAATATGATTTGTAAACCAATTTCCGGTATTTCGATATGAATATTGTAACATGAAATCAGCTCATTTTATGAATATTAATAATCAACAAC